TAGTCGAAGCCTGATGTCTTTGACCTCGTTAAATCGAGGATGATCTTTTTTTAGTGGGTCAACGTAATGTTCAATTTCTGCCATCACAAATTCTCTATAAAGAATTAATTTGAAGATCAAATTATGATTAATTACAATTAATTCTCGAATTAGTACATATATATTAAATTTTATCACCTGACTCGAAGAAGTCCAGCTCTTGGACTAATCTCATTTCTAAAAGAACGACCGATCGAAGCAGAAGCGAAAGGCATCTTTTCATTATTGAACTCTAAAAGTCTTTTGAAATTAAGGAATTGTCCTTGTGCAGTTTCAGGACGTAGATATCTATAATATCATTTAATAGTTTTTTTTTACGCATGATATCCATTTAGCAAAAGTTAAATAGAAAGTAAAATATAAATTATAATTAATATTGAAAAGTTCAAGTTACCCTTTCAGACCACCAGTTGGTCCAATGCTACTCTCAAACATTAAGTTAAATTCGACTGGCTCGGTAAGATCACCACCGGTCTCTGGATTTTTTATGTTATACTTATGCATCAGTTCTCCCAGTTCCGGGCCAGTGTAATTGTCAATCTGAATAATATATTACATTCTTGTTAAATTATAAACCAATGCATATTATTACATGAGATTTTATACCTTTGCTAAAATTTCTTCATATTCAGCCTTCACCGGATCACTCAACTTTACTGCCTGCACTTTACCCTTCTTTCTTTTTTTCTTGTCTTGTTCGGCGGATTTATCATCAGCATCTTTAGGAACATTATCCAATTCTGAAGCGCTCGCTCGTTTATCTCCTTCTAATCTCGCCTCGAGAGTCGCTTCAACCAAATGATCAGCACGAAATATTTCACCAGTCTTTGGGTCTTTGACCATCCAATCAGCAAATTTGTCCACGTGACCCGAGGTTTTTAGCACATCCGAGGGTGTCATAATTGTGCAGTCGACTTCGAGCATATCTTCTTCCAAGACAAAATGTCGACGCCATAAATCTAGTATGTTGGCTTGTAATGCACTGCCGGGTGGTCCGTAATCATAAAGACCAGCAACCCCTTTTTTAAGGAATAGAATAATGTCAGAATTTCGATAAATAATTTATGAATTTAATAAATACATTTAATCGTGAATAAGCATAATTAAATGGGTATAAATAACGGAGCTTACCACCATACGATTGAAAAGCCGGTGCATAGAA